TTCTGCCCTAGACCCCCCTCATTTTTCAGATGGGTGATATAGCCCAGACAAAGGGAATGACTTACCCAAAGCATCTTGACCTCCAAACTGCCTTCTCTCACATCTGTTGCACTAGAGGACCCCTGAATAGTTTATCATTTCCTGAACAGGTGTGGTGGTTCCTGACCCTGGTCCATGTGCTCCAGACCTTTGGTCCTTTCCCTTATATCCTGCACCGGTATCAGAATCTTGCTGTCCAGCCTCTGAGTCTCACCCACAGGCCTTTCTTCTCCTCACTTCCCTATTCTTGGCCCTGGTTGTTATGGTCTTTCTGTTCTAGAGCAAGCCCCCCCCCCCCCACAAGGGGGCTGTCAGCACAAGAGCTGGAATATGCCGTGTGTGTGTGTGTGTGTGTGTGTGTGTGTGTGTGTGTGTGTGTGAGCGTGTATGTGTATGTGTGTGTGTGTGTGTGATAGAAAGAGGGCTTTGAGGGCCTGCTGCTGACCCTCATGTTGAGTGGGCCCTCTTGTCCTGTCCAGCCCCCCCTCGCCCCCCTGCCCCCCACCCCCCAACTCTTCACTAAGCTGGGGCATGTGGACAGCAACACGAAATCCCATTCCCTCAGCCAGCAGAAATCAATAGCTAATTAATTCCCTCCCTAAAATAGAGTCCAGAGAGGAGGATGTCAGGTGTGGTGGGGGTGGAGGGAAGCAGACAGACAGAGACAGAGGGAGTGGGACAGAGACTCAGAGAGGCAGCTGGTGGTGTCGTGCAGGAAGGCCTGGGTTCCAATCCAGCTTAAGACACTTACTAGCTGTATGACCCTGGGCAAGTACTAAACCTTAGTCTGCCTCAGTTTCCTCAACTGTGAATTGGGAGTAATAATGCCACCTACCTTGCAGGGTTGTTGTGGGGATCAAATGAGATAATTTGTAAAGGGCTTAACACGGAGCACATAGTCAGTGCTGCAGACGTGCTTATTCCTTCTCTCTTCTCCCCAGAGAAATAGAAGGCAAGAGAGGAAGGACAGGAGAACAGGGGAGCTCAATTATTCTTTGAGGTCTTACTGACAAGCACCTACTGTATTCCCAGCCCCTTGCCAGGAAGGGGAAGGGTACTTCTCTTCTTTCCTAGATTCTACCTTACATTCTCCTCCCCCTCCCCAGGGACACCCTTCTCCCTTCCCTGGAGTGGGGGAGAGGCTGTGGGGGGGGGAGGGAAGGGCATCAATCAGCTTGGGAGCAGGTGCTGCATTTAATTTGATTGGCTAATTAGCCTGAGCATGTTAATTATCCCCCATTACCCAATGAGGAGGCGAAAAATGAAGTGGCTATATATAACCCCTTGCCAGCCGTCTGGGGGAGTGGGGGCATGGAGGCTTAGGTCCTGGGTGGCCCCTTGGGGATGTAGGAGGAAGAAGATGATGAAGAGAAGAAGAGAGATGAAGGGGAGGAGGAAGGAGGGAGAAGAGGATAAAGATGAAGTAGGGTAGAAGGAGGGGGAGAAAGAGGAGTGGAGGAGGATGAAGGAGAGAGGAAGAAGAGGGACGGAGGAGAAGAAAGGGAGAAAGTCGAGGAAGAAGGAGAGGAAGGCCAGCTAGAGAAGGTCCTGAGGGGAAAGACATGCCTGGGATCAGGAGGCCTGGGTTCTGTGGTGGGGTTGGGTCCCAGGGAATCCCAGCTGTGAGGGTGAAAGGTCAAGGGGGAACCTGGCTGGGGTATGAGCTGTAGAGGATGCCCTGGGCCCTACAAGGAGCAAGTGTAGAAGACCACCTGCTTTCTCTATTTCATCTTCCCCATGCTTTCCAGTTCTCCTCTTGCCTTCTCCTCCCTCCTTCACTTCATTCCTTTCTTCTCTCCTACATCTCTAGGGGTATTGGGGAGAGGAATAGGGGAAAGTAGCACTGCATGTAGAAGCAAGAGACCTGGGTTTGAATCTCCCTCCCACCTCAATTTTAACCATCGTGTCCCCCTCTGAGTCTCAGTTTCCCCCTCTGTAAAATGGAGTGGATTAATTGTGGTCTCTTCCAGCTCCCAATTCCCTCTCCCTGTCCCTGCCTTTCCATTTCCATCACTTCTCCCTCTTCTACTTTCTGCCTCTCTCCTTTTTCTCCTTCTCTCCATATTCCTTTACCCATGCCATCAACTTCCTTGTCCATCTCTTCCTGGATGCCTCATACCATTGCTCTCTCCCTACACTGACCATTGATTCTCCTCGACACTCTCTCTCTCTTTTCTTTTACTTACCTCTCTCCCTTCCCCATTGGCTCCTTTCCTTCACCATCTCTTCTCACATCAGCTCTCACCTACAGCTACTTCCTTTTAGGTTTTCTCTCCCTTTGTCTCCCTTTGTGTTCCTCTTTTCTCTGTCCATCTCCCCTTTGCTCTTTCCTTCTCCCTCCTTCCAGCCTGCTTTCTCTAGATTCCTCGACCCTCCTCCCTTTCCCCTCCTCTCTCCCCTATCTCTGTCTCCTCCCTGAGTTTCTCCTCTTCCTTCCTTCCTCCCTCCCTCCTCAAAATAAAATCGATGCAATATTCAGGAGGGTTGTTGGATATAAATAATTACGACTCAGGAGTTTAACGAGATGCAAATTCCCCTCCCTGGCGGTGCGCGGGGTATAAATTGCTCTCTGACAGCCCGTTACAAGGGTAATCATTTCAGAAAGGCAATTTTATGCAAATGAATCTACTCGCCTAATGGTTGGTGGCTCCCCCAGTTCTGGGGGGCCTGGGAGAGTGGGATGGGGGAAGCTGATGCTATAGGGGTCAGCCCAGACCCTAGAGGGAGAGGGTGGTGGAGGGAAACTGAAGACTCCCTCCATGTTGGGTTCCTGGAGTGGGTGGGACCTTGGGGCTAGGAAATGGGAGTGGGAGGGTGGCTCATTTATCCAGGGGAGCTGAATGTGTCTGGGGAGGGAAAAAGGGATGATGGGAGGGCTGGAACTCTGGAGTTAGAATGCTCCTAGCTCTTGGGAGGCTGCGGGAAGGGAGGGCGGAGACTGGAGGCTGGGGAGCTGGATACCTGGGTCTTCATTTGCTTCCCTTCCCCTGTTTCCTGGCCCCTGGTTACCCGTTGAGACCATTGACGAATCGGCATTTAATTAATCCCAATGAATTATTTAGCGGCTTCATTATCTAGCATCGGGGCTGATGAGAGCTGGTGGTCAGGGGGTGGGAGTGGTGGGGAGGCTGTGATGTCAGAAAAAGGAGAGGAGGGGCATGGGGTGCAACCTCATGGACTTCTAGTTGAGAGTTTCTCTGCTCGTCCTGTTCCCCCGTCAGTTGTCCCCCAGATTATTTAAGGGTTGTCTTCCTCTACCTCGGCTCTGCTCCCTGGGTGCTATGGGATGTAGGCTGGAGGGTCCAGACCCGGAGAGCTGAGTTGGGTTCTCGATGACCTCTAACGTGTCCCCATATGTGGGACTTATGTGCCCCTCTATCCTTGGGTTGGGCTTCTGTCTGCCTTGGTCCTACTCTCCCATCCCACATACCCCACAACTCCCTGTGTCTGCCCTCTATTCCCTGTCTGTGTCCTGCCCCCAGACTGTCTTGGGTGTTTCTTCTCTGTCTTCCTAAGGCTGTCCAGTGGGCTCCCATCTGCTTGTCTAGTTCCGATTGTCCATGTCGCCACGTCTGTTTTCTCCACTCGGGCTGTCCTCTCCCCTCATCCAATCCTGGGACCATCTGGGTATCTCTTGTCCCTCTTCCTTTCTGGGTTTCTCCAGGCTGTTTTCATGGGTCCTCTGCTTTTGTCACTCTCCTCGTTTCATCTCTGGCTCCCCCAGACTGTCTGAGTGTCCTTCCTCTTTTGTTCTTGGAATTATTAGGCTTCCCTTCAAACTGTTGGGGGTGGGAGGTCTGTCTCTCCAGACTACCCAAGTGGTGCCACTCACTTCTGCAGTTTGGATCTCTCACTAGACTGACTGTTAAGCTTATGTCTTCCTCCCTACTCCTGTATTGAGTTCGCATTCCTCTATGGGGAATGTCTTCTTCAGACTGGGTGATTGGTGCCCTGTCCACATAATCCACCCTATGTCTTCTCCCTGTCTGAGTGTCTACTTTGCCATGAGTGTCCTCCTCCAACTAAGTGTTCCTTGTGTGATGGCCTGGTCTCTGTGTCCATCTCCTCATCTGTCCCTGTGGACCGTCCGTTGTCCTCAAACTGAGGGCCAATTTCGCCCCAAATACCAAAGGGTAAAGAAAACTAGAGCGGGGACTGTCACTCTCTCTCTTTCCTAGGTCCAGAACTTAAGCTTTGAGGTGTTCCAGCCTTGGGCCACACGGTTAACACTCTCCTCCCGTCTGTTTTCTCGCAGGCCCAGGCACCGGCCCCCACCCCCGGAGCAAGCCTGAGGACAGAGGCCCCTTCCCTTGAAGTCCAGCGGGGGAGGCACCCCAGCAACCGCCGCCACCACCTAGTTCTCTTCTTCCCTGCCCCCCCCCCCCCCGGGGGGGCCGGGGCTATGGCGCAGAGCCCCTTCGGGCGGGCCCCCGGGGGCGCGGGGGGACGCCCGGGGGAGGCCGCCCCCCCCCTGGCCCCATGCACCTTCGACGGTGAAGCCTTAGGGCGGGGGGGGGGGGGGCGGGGCTGGGCCGCCGGGGCCTAGGCAGGGGGCGCGGCTCAGAGCCAGAGCCTCCATGGTGAGCCGAGCGCCCGGGGCGCTGGCCCTGGTGCTGGCGCTCAGGCGAAGGCTGCTGAGGCGAGGCCCCCGCCTGGGGCCTCCCGGAGCGCTGGCGCTGGCCTTGGTGCTGACGCTTGCCCTGGCCCAGGGCGCAGCGGGCCTGGAGTTTGGCGGCGGCCCTGGCCAGTGGGCGCGCTACGGGCGCTGGGCGGGCGCGGCGAGCAGCGGCGAGCTCAGCTTCAGCCTGCGCACCAACGCCACGCGCGCCCTGCTGCTCTACCTGGACGACGGCGGCAACTGCGACTTCCTGGAACTGCTGCTGGTGGACGGGCGCCTGCGGCTGCGCTTTGCCCTGTCGTGCGCCGAGCCCGCCACGCTGCACCTGGACACACCAGTGGCGGACGACCGCTGGCACATGGTGCTGCTGACCCGCGACGCGCGGCGCACCGCTCTGGCCGTGGACGGCGAAGCTCGCGCCGCCGAGGTGCGCTCCAAGCGGCGCCACATGGAGGTGGCCAGCGACCTGTTCGTGGGCGGCATCCCGCCCGACGTGCGACTGTCTGCGCTCACGCTCAGCACCGTCAAGTACGAGCCGCCCTTCCGCGGGCTCCTGGCTAACCTGAAATTGGGAGAGCGGCCGCCCGCCCTGCTGAGCAGCCAGGGACTCCGCGGGGGAGCAGCCGACCCGCTCTGCGCGGCCCGCAACCCGTGCGCCAACGGCGGTCTGTGCACCGTGCTTGCCCCGGGCGAGGTGGGCTGCGACTGCAGCCACACGGGCTTCGGCGGCAGGTTCTGCAGCGAAGGTGAGGCGGGGCGACCCGGGACCTGGGCAGGGGTGGGGGGCACATCTGCTCCCTGCTTTGCTTTGCCCTTTCCTTGTCTCATACTCTCTAGGTCCAAGACCCCAGGCCACTTGTCCCCCAGGCCTCCCCTCGCTTATCACTCCCCCTGCCCCCTTCCCGGCCTCAGCCATTCCCTGTCTTTAAGAAATAGGTTTTAGGGTACCCTCTCTACAGAACCCCAGAGCCAGTCTTGCCTTGATCACGATCAATCCTTTGTGCTACTACCAGGAGCGCCCCTCACCTCCCAAATCTCCTTTTCCCTCACTGCTGGAACCAGGCCTTAGGCAGGCCCCTTCCCTTCCTCTGCCTCTCACCCCTGACAGAAACTTATCACATCTTTAAGTAGATGGGTGCTGGCAGCACCCCTTTCCTGTTTCTCACTGTCCCCTCTTTTCGCTTCTCTTTTCCCCATTGCCACCTGCACCTCATGCCATTTCTCCAACCCCAGTTCCACTGCTCCCTGCCTCTAACGGGGAAGGGGAGAAGGTTGGCATTGGTAGTATGTTCTCTTCTGATGCCCAGGGCTTAGGCCACCCACTTTCCCACCTCATTTCCTTCTAGACCTTTCAGGCTTCCTCACTGCATCCAAGCCCCAATCCAGGAGCTTACTACTGGGGATCTGTGGGTCCCAGAAGTGACCCATTTGCTCTTGCCCTCCGTTGGCCAAGATCACACCCTCCTCAATGTTTCTTCTTTCAGAACCCTCGACCTCTTGTGACCTTCCTCCCCTCCCAGCCCTGGCCCAGCCCTTCACTGGATCTTTGTGTGAGGAATGGTATACTGTCCCCTTTCTTTTGGTCTCCCGCTTGTCCAAGTCACATACTCACGCTTCCATTTGCTTCCGCTTCTCCTCCTCTCCCAGGCACTCACTGGTCTTTCTCCATTTGAGCTCTGGGGGGTTGGGTGGGGATCTCCCTGGCCAATGCCCCTTACAAAGTACCTTTCAGGGATGATGATTGAAAAAGATACTCTTTTAGTGTGAGATATGTGCAAGTAAGTGTGTGCATATATGTGTGAACCTGTGACTGAGTGTGAGGATGGGTACGAAGGAGAAATTATGAGTCAGGCCAGACCATCCCTCAAGTTGAGCCTCAGTTTCCTCAGTTTCCTGAGCTGATTGGTGTATGGGGGTGCAGAATAGGTGACTATGTGCAAGTCAATCTATGTGATTGAGGCTGTGTTGGCGATTGTCCTAAGCTTGACGCTGTGGGGTGGACAATGTTGGAGAGGCTCTGGGAGTGTCTTGGGGATGGCAGGGAGCATTATAGTTTTGAAGAGGATGAGCCCCTTTTTCGAGAGCTGGTAGATTTTTGGCGGAGGGGGATAAGTGGGAAGTCTGGCCAAGGAGTAAATTTAAAGGCTTCAGACTGTATGTTAGTTAGAGGACCAAGGTGTTTTTGCCTGGTGGGCAGATGGATTCCTGGAGTGAGGGTGAGGGCGAGGGCAAGAAAGGCAGCTTGATTTCGTCTCTTCTGCAATAAGTGTACTTTTTAAGGAGGGGGCATTTTGGGGGAGGAGAGAGTGGTTTGAACTCAGCTAGGCTCTGCTTATGGGGTACTGCCCAAGGTAGATTAGATGGGGTGACCATGACCCCCATTTCAGTGTATCCTGTACAGGATTGGGGCCAGGGAAGTGACCCTCCTCCACTTGTTCAGGGAGGGCCCTTAGTCAGCTTCTTTCTTCTTTGTTCTCAGTGGCAGCTGTTATATAGCAGGTGTGAAGGGAGAGATGTGTGTGTGTGTGTGTGTGTGTGTGTGTGTGTGTGTGTGTGTGCCCTTCTGGGCATGCCCATCTGAGTGGAACCCACTCATGCCCCTGGTGGAACCCACAATGCATGTATGTATGTGACTGGGTAAGTGACCCAGGAGGGTTCTTTTCTTGGGGAGGGGCCTCTGGCTCAGTTGTTTGTTTCCATAGATGTATAAGTGTGCACCTGCATTGTTGAAGAGAGATGAGTGTGTGGAGCTGGGCCACCTCAGGGGCTGTGTGCATACAGAGGGCCGTGGGTGGTGGTGTGTGTCTGCAAACATACCCCTGAGTCTGTGTTGTGTGTGTAAGCTAAGGGCTCTGGCTGATTGTGTGTAGCTGTATGTAGTTGTGGAGGTGGGGGTTGGGGTGTCTGACGAGCTGGCAGAGCTGCTGTGTGTGGATTCGGTTGTGATGTAGGGGATACAAGGGCTGTGTATATTAAGTTAATCTGACACCTTCACACCTTTCCTCCCAGGAGTTCAGGTGTTCTGTAAGCTGTGAAATTGTGTGTGTGTGCACACCCAGGAGTCTGGCTGTGTGTGTGTGTGTGTGTGTGGTTGTATTGATTGAAGAGGTGTATATTTATGTGTAGAAAACCCAAGCAGATTAGAATGGGGGAGAATTACACAAGTGTGTGTGTGTGTGTGTGTGTGTGTGTATGTGTGTATACACCCGTGTGATCCTGTAGATGCATATTGATGGGTATAATCAATCTGTAAGAACACCTGGGAGCTACAAATGTTATCTCTTCCAAGGAGTTTAGCCTGCTTCCCAGTTGCTCAAATCTGCCCTCAACCCTAGTGCCTGGTTAATCCTGAACTCTGCCATCCATTTACTAGGTGAGGAATCTGAGCTCCATTTGAGTGACTCGCCAAGCCATGGATAGCCCATGGAACTAGATGCCTTTGTGAGGTGTGCCGCCAAGCCATGGATAGCCCATGGAACTAGCTGCCTTTGTGAGGTGTGGCCCCAGGGAGCCCTCAACAAAAGCCCCCTCCAGACCACAGACTTCAGAACTAGAAGGGAGATCAGAGTCCTTTAGTCCAACCACCTCCTCTTGCATATGAGGAAACTATAGCCCAGGGAGGGGAAAGAATCTCTGCTCAGGGTTACAAGCCTGGTAATTATCAGCGCTGAGACTGGAACCCAAACATCCCGATTCCCAGTTCAAGACTCTATTATCCATCTCTGTCTTCCTGGTGGAGGCTGTGATGGGGAATGGAGACCCCAAGGAGCACAAGACTCACGCGTGGTCTTGAATAGAGATGCAGACTTTCTTAGGTTCCTCTCCGTAATGGAGGAGATCCAAAGGAAGTGTTTGCCCCAAATGGGAGCTGTCCAGCACAGGCGTAGACTAGTGAGCAGCTCTCACTAGGGTTCACAGACTCTTGTGGTTTACAGATGGAATGAACCACAGTGATGAGCTCCTCCAACCCCTTCATTTCAAAGATGAGAAAACTAAGACCCAGAGGGGGGAAGGACTTGCTGAAGGTCACAAAGGTAGTAGATTATCAGACTGGGATTCAAACTCTCCCTCTCTGGGGCTGGTGACTTCCTGTTTGGAATGGGGTGTGTGTGTGTGTGTGTGTATGTGTGTGTGTGTGTGTTCCCCATCATACGTTGAGTGATCAGATTCAATGACATCTAAGACCCCGTCCATCTTGGAGAGTCTGTACTGTTGGGTTATTGTACCTCTGTGTGGGGAAACATTGACGGTTACATCACAGAGTGGTCCTGTGGGTTCTGTTTGTAAAACTTAAAGTGATTCCATAGAAATGGGGCCTTCTTTCTGCTCTGATGGTCAGAGGGTCATCTATCTAGAATTGCAATGACCCACAGAGACCATCTGGTCCAGCCCCCTCATTATACAGGCAAGAAAATTGAGGTCCTGACTGGGAGACAGAACTCAACCACTGTCACACAAGTAGTAAGTGGAGATGGTGAGGTTTGAACCGTGTACTTTGATCTCCAAAGTCCAAGTTCATTCTACTACAATGCCACATGAAAATGGGGACTGAAGATCAAAGGGGGAGGGCAGTCTGCGTGTGTCTGTAGTCCAGTGTGGACCAGTGTGCGGATCTGTTCAGGATCTCTCTGTCTCTGCCTCTTTTTCTGTCTCTGCCTTTTTTTCTGTCTCTGCCTCTTTCTCTCTCTCTTTTCTGTCTCTGCCTCTCTGTTTCCATCTGCTCTGCAGCTAAATTTTCTTTTATGTATTTTCTCCCTCAATTAAAGTGTGAGCTTCCTAAGAGCAGGGGATGTAAGATTTTTTTCTGTTTATATCTCCATCATTTAGCACAGTGTTTGGCACATAGTAAGCACTTAATAAGTGCTTTTAAAAATTCATTCATTCATTCATCCATACACTCATTCATTCCCAGGCTTTGTCTCTGTTTCTCTCATTTCTCCTTCTCTGTCTCTGTCTCTGTCTCTCTATTTCTGTCTCTCTTCCTACCTCCCCAAGAGAACAATAGAAGCTTGTGAAAATGAGGGCAGGGTGGGTCCTGTGTGTGTGCAGTTGGCATGGTCACAGTGGGGGTGACATCCTTCAGTTAAATTCAACAAAGGTCTACATCCTTCTCATGGTAGGGATTTCATTTGTCCAAAGGGCACGTCTGACTGTGCTTCTCCCTTGCTCAAGAACCTTCATTAGCCCTTTTTGGCCTCCAGGAGAAAATATAAGCACCTCTGGTGCTTAAAGCCCTTGGAAATCTGGCTGCAGCCTGCCTTTCCAGACTGAGCTCACATCACTCCCCCTTAGGCATTCTGTGTTCCAGACGAGCTGGCTTCCTCGCTGTTCCTCACGCACAGCACTCCATCTCTGGCCTCACTACTTATGCACAGGCTGTCTGTCCTCTGGACCTGGAAGGCTCTCCCTCTGCTCCTCTACCTTGTGGAATCCTTAACTCCCAACTCAATGCCACTTCCTCCACGGGCCCTTTCCTGACCCCGTTCGCCTTCCCAGTTATTGGTGCTTCTCTCACAGTCATTCGTCTTTATTTTGTACATAATTTGTATTGGCTTAATAGAGTCCATGTTGTGTCTCTCTAAGCAGAACGTGAGCTCTTTGAAGACAGGGACTATTTTGTCTTTTTGGCTCCTAGCATGGGACCTGGCAGCTAGTGGGCATCTGATTCATGCTTGTGGAATTGAGTTGGTTTGAACTGAAAACATCTTCCTTGAAGCCACCATGTGAAATGGATAAGGGTAGACAT